CCCCAAAACCCCAAAACCCCAAAACCCCAAAACCCCAAAACCCCACAGATGATGGAGAGAGCTGAGAATCTAAATTTAAGTTTTATTTGTTTTATAATAATAAAATGGATACGTCTGAGAGAGGAGATTATCATTTGTTAGAAGAGAGTAAGAGAGAGGATAGTGAAAGCAGAGAAGACTTAGAGATAGAGAATCGGAAAATTAGAGATTATGAGGAAGATAAGAGGTGGGAAAAATTAGAAAAGCTATTTGATTCTCATTTAAAGCCATTACAACAATTTAGAAATGTTTTCTGGAAATATCAAAAGAATAATATCTGTTCTAATTCTCATGATGATTATAATAAAGTCTATAAGTATTGAGTCAAGAATATTTAATATGCTTTCCAGGTCTACAAAGATTCCTTAGAAATGACAATTTATAGTTTAATTTTTATTTCTATAATGAGCTATGTTTAAAAATAAATGAAGAACTATACCAGATTGAAAAGGAATTTGGAAATGCAAGATTCCATGATAATTTGGAAAATGCTCATAATTCATTGGATCAGATATATCAAATCGAAGATTTTTTACTAAAAAATAATCTTTTTCAGAAGATTACCTCAGCAAAGAATCAAAAGCTATTCCAAACGATAGAAAACAATCATGAAAACATGCCTGTTTTTAAGGGACCCAATTTAAGAGGAAAACTAGGAGATCAATGTGCAAGAAAATAGAAAATTGGTGAATACTTTTCACGCCATAGAAAATGAAGAACCAAATGGACAAACTCAGATGAACAGTCACCTCAAAGATGGAGAGTATTCTTTTGGAAAAGTAGTTTGAGAAAAATCTTGTCCATGAGCTTTCTGGTACTTTAAATCTATCAATTAATTTGTTTAATTTATTAGGTGGTTAATTTCAGTAGGAGTTGCCATCCTGATTCCTTCATTGATAGTAGCCTTACTTAATAAAAGGCACAATGTATTTAAGATTTACTACGGACAAGAATTGAAATAAAGCAAGTAAGGTCAAGAACAATGAATTTTATTCTTTCAATTGACTTAAAGTTTCAATGCTTTGTTTATAATATTCTGCCCCTTTTTATAAATAAAATCTACTTCAAATATAGAAAACCCTGAAAGCAAAATGTACTAATTTTTTCAATGTAAAATACAATATAAATCATAATTTGTAAATTTCAATCATCTATCTTTGGTAGCTGAGCTATTGATCATAATATACTAAATGTATAGATGGTCTCATCTATCTCAATGAAGCAATTGACGACATCTTATTATTTGCTAACGATAATGATCCTCAAGGATTACAATTTGATGATAAACTTGATCAGTGAAACTCTTTTTTCGAGAATTATAAGGAAAAACTAAGCAATTCATATGGACATCATGCTGATCAGCTAGAAAAATTATTTGTAGCATTTTGAAGCAAATTTAAGAATCAATACAAAAACGAAATTTTGAATATAAGTCAAGCTAATGCAGAAGAGATCAACTCTTTAGAAGCAGAAATTAAAGTTCTAAAAGAAGATAACAGAGTCAAAAATGCTAAAATTAACCAAATGCAAATAGAAAGAGACAATGCTGCCAAAGAGTATCAATTTTTACGCATGAAGTTTACTAATGAGATTATGAAATACTCAATCGAAGAACTAAATAGTCTCTCATCAGAAATCCTCAATAAGGATATTTATAATGAAAATGATCCTCAAATTGAGCTGAAGCTCAAAGATCCAAGATATTTAGAGTTCCTTAGAGCAATTGATAAGAGAATACCTGATGCCACAAGATTGTATATTGATTATATTCCGAACAATCATGAAGATGTTAAATATTACTTGGAGTATTACTTCCCAGAGAAAGTTGAAGGAATATCTTTTAACTATGGATCAAATGAAACTCTTCTACTTGACAATTATGTCAAAGAATTAGTGTCAATCGCTCCAAAGGTGCAAAAGCATATGGAACTCCATAATTTTGAAATGAGCCAAGATGATCTGATAGCACTACTTCCGAGTATAAAGCATCTGACCTGGCTTTCTCTGAAAAATGGTAAATTAAGCCTTCCTTCAGTTCCTGACTTCGGATATATTCTTAATGAAAGCAAGTTAACAGGACTCTCTTTAACTTACCTCAACAAGAATTTCTTTGCCAATCAAGGAAGAGATTCTTCAGAGTTTGAAAACTTAATCAAAGGCCTCTCTAAGTCTGAAGACTTTAAGTCAAATCTAGAAACTATTTTGGTACATCAATGTGGAAGATCAAAGAAAGAAATTCAAGATATTTTATCCAGACATGGATTTGAGAAGGTTTATGTTGCTGAAATATAAAAAAGTTTGATTCCGCTGTTGAGAATTAACAATTGAGGTTATTCTAATTTCAATAGCATATTTGTATACTGGGGTTTTGGGGTTTTGGGGTTTTGGGG